TGCATCCAGGGTATAAGAGTACACAAAGCAACAACTTAAGGCAGAAACAAGTACAACATACTATAGAATCTGCACAAGAAGTTTCATTCACATGAAACCAAGTTACCCAATTGTTATTTTACCAGCAGGATGTAATACATAACACACCTATTCAACCAAAGCTTACTAATGAGCAATGCCAGCCCCTCAGCCATGTGTGCCACCTGAAAAATCAGTGGGTTTGGCAGCACAGGGTCTCCATGCACCATGGCATCACTTGCTCAGTGTCACCAAGTGTCGGTTACCAGTCCACGCACACAATTTTCTTTGCTTGTTCAGCATCTGATTTTCCACTCTGCTCTCACAGGCAATGCCAGCACAAAACACCACTACTCCCATTGCCAGCCATTCTATGCTCAGTTGCCTTGCACATAAATCGTATCTGCAGCACCCAACAGGGAGGAGGTAGGGAATAAACCTGTGGGCTTCCTCAGTTCCCCATCAATACGCCCAAGGCCAGCCCTGTTTCCTTGTGCACCAAGCAGTGTATCAGATTGGTCTATGTGCAAGTACAAGTTACAGGAAAGTTACCCCCAGAAACAAGACTCTTAGGGTCAAGTACAATGGCAAAGCCCCTACTTGGAGGATCTTTAATACATATGAGCTACAAGGCAGCTCCTCAGTACATACAAGCAGTCAAACTGGCTTCAAGATTTCAGAAGCCACCTTGCTCTATATCCTATAAAACACAACTCCTGGTAGTAAAAATTAAGTGCATATATAAGCTTTTGTACAACTGGGACCTGACCCAATGCTCTTGCATCACTGAAATCAACTAGAAACGCAACACTTTGCTGCCTGAGAGCAAAACAGAAGCCCATATGGCCAACACATTTCACGAATGTGGGAAGGGGCTGGTATATAAGAAAAAGCAAGAAAACGACAGAGTGGTGAACTGCAGAGCCTATCTCATTACTGCTACAGTTTTAGCATTGATTTTTTTTAATAGCACACTTCACTTTTGCTCTCACTGTCATGTCAATATTATAGATATGACAGCAAAGGGAGATCTGCGCCTCCTGGAATGGCAAGAATTTCTGTTAAGGAAAAGCCCAAAAGACAAACCAAATCTATTGCATTTGACCCTAGGGATGGATGAAATCTAAAGTCTTTATGGAACTCCAAGGAGTCAAACAGCAATGCGGACATCCAAGCATCTCTCTCATAATCTTCTCATAATTTGCCAAGTGCATCAGGATCCATTTGCAATGGTGCCATGTGGCATGTTCATTATTGAGTCCGAAGCACTTCATAAATTCATAAGATGAATGCCACACAGTTGTTCTAGAAACATGTTTTCACACTTTTCACCCCATTTCTCCTCCAAGCTAAACTTGAAATCCTAGCTAACATGGAGGTTAGGTTTTATTAAATGAAAAAGCCCACAACGATCTTACAGCCTCTCTCGTAACCGTACCTCAAATATTGACTCCATTAACATTGTAGCTGTAACAGCCCCATGGTCTACAACTCAGAGCGGTCAAACTTCTGCCTGTTAATCAACACAGACATCAACCTCAACAAACTGCTTGGCAGGCTGCTTATATGCTGCACCATGCCAGACACCTTTTGGATAGGCACACTTAGCAGGAGCCAAGCCAGGCTTCAGGTGTGCATTGCACTGCAATCACAGCAGTTACCTGGATCTAAAAACGTTAATCAGGATTTTTAAAACAATCTGCTCCCCAATAAATTAGGACAATTCAAGCATTCATTTGCACTGTATGTAAGGCTACCCCAGAAATACGTAATCACCTAACTTCAAAGCATCAGGCTGCTTTTCACCACACAGCACTATGGTAAAAAGCACAGTACTCTCTTTGAGGACAAACACCACAAGGTTCACATGGAACTTGTCCCTATCTTAAAAGGGACTCGGAGTCTACAATTTTTGCAGTAACAGCATTACACATTTATACGCTCATATGCATCCAGAAGTGATTTTAAAGCAGGGATATAAGTGGTTCTTTCTCCTCATACTGCACTGCAGCAAAAGAATATGGCAGTTGTTTAATAGCACATAACAAAATCGCAGGACTGCTCATGGAAGGAAAAATAATCTTCAGGGGAGGGGGATTTAAGTAGGTAGAATGCAATTACCTAAATTGAAATGCAGTGGTTAATGACCTTGTGCTTACAAAACTTGCTACATAGTCCTTAAAGATCAGAGCTTCCATTTTAAGTCTCATTGACAATACTTCCATAACAATGATTATGAAGCTCTGTCCTAGTAGAAAGTCGATGAGAAGGATTAACAGGCTTTTAATTAATGCCCCATCTTTTTTGCTGAATCTTCAGGAAAGGACAGGCATTGCCCTGTGACAGTGACTCAGCCCCTACTTTAGGAAGTGCATTAAGAAACCAAATAGCTCAATATAGCAAAGATTAAAAACTTGAGACAGGAAAGAAAAAAAAAAAATCAAAACAGCCAACTGTATAAATTCTTCAAAGACTTTCATAGAAGCATCACTTACAAAGGGGGCTCATTCACAGCCAGGAATGAGATCACAGTAAGTGATCTGACACCAGCCTATGAAAAAAGTTATAGGAATGACTTACTCCATAATCCATTCAAAACAAGGGAACCATAGAATCAACTGGCATAAAGTCCAACCCTATCCAGCACTGCCAAGGCCACCACTAAACCATGTCACTAAGGGCCTCATCTACAGTTTTTTAACTCTTGCAGGGACAGTGATTCCACCACTGCCCTGAGCAACTTGTCCCAATGCCTGAGCATCATTTCAGTAAAGAAATTTTTCCTAAACCTCCCCTGGGGCAGCTTGAGGCCATTTTCCTTCATCCTATCACTTGTTATTTGGGAAAAGAAACTAGGCACCTCCTTACTCCATCCTCCTTTCAAGTAATTGTGGAGAGTGATAGGGTTCCTCCTGAGCCTTCTCATGGAGAGCTGCTTGGCAAGCTCTTTTGCCAGCTTCTTCAGTACTCTTGGGTGGAACCCAACCTTGAGCACCTTCTCGATGACCACTGGCTGAGCTTACCACTTAAGCTTGCCAGGCTTCTGGGCCCTTCCTGCTGGTTCTTCCTGCATAAACTACTACTATGCTCCAGTCACCACACTCCCAGGGCAGCGTTTTGCCCATTCAGAGGTGGTGGTCAGCGCTCCTGACTCCTGGGTTAGCCCTGCAAGGGCTTGGGGCTCCCTTCATGGCTCTTGCCATTCAGGAGCGAGACTTCTGGACACTGCTTTCCCAACACTCTGATGCTGAAGGTGTCCGCTCCGAAGCTACTCATCTGGGCAAAATGAGGGCCAGAAGAGTGGGGAGGATCAAAGGAGGAGTTGAAACCACCCCACTCAGTCTCTGCTTTTCAAATAATCTAACTTGACACAGCTGAGCTAAAGTCACAGGCCTGAAACAACCCTTTCAAAAGCTTTCCAGCATCCCCACCATTGCTCTTTGCCCCCTGGTGTCGCATGTAGCCAGATGTAATAACATCAACAGGTGATTGATGGAGGCTTTTTCCTTCTTTCTATAGCTTCTGCTATGAAAAGATCGTTTTCAGAGTCAAATAGCACACATTTTTGAGGGTTAAAAAAAAAAATAAGACATTTAAACACAAAAATGCCCATACAGTGCTCAACTCTGAATAACACCTTAAAGCAAACTCCCTGCCACGTACCAAATTGGAGAGAATGTTTTGACTGATTTTTTAGCCAGGAAGACAAGCAAGCTTTTCTCTTCTTCCCCTATTCAAGAGCAAATCATCATTCCAAACCCAGGCTATCACTCTTGTCTCATTTTCTGAATCCAGCCTTTTCACTAAGAAACAAATCTCTCATGCTTTATTCTGAGCCCACCGCATGCTGGGACAAGATTCCTGGGCCATGATAACTAGTGCAGACCCACAGCGGTTGAAAAGCAATGCATAATTCAATGTGAAGTTTTTAAACTTTGAGCAGCTAGTAGAAAGGAAAGCAGAAACCCTAAACCTCCAATACGTTCTCAGACATAAACTGTACTCAAGACTACACCACCTTTATAAGGGCTTCTGAACTTTAAGACAAGAGCTCAGAGCTGAAACCCAAACCTTTTTCTACATTCGAAATTGAAACAAGTGTTCAACCATAAGGTCATTTGCTGTTGCTGACAGCACCTCAAAACTTCATCCAGGGTTGGACTTTTGAAGCTGAAAAGGCTCTAGAAAACATTTTGCAAGTCTCTGCTGTGTGCCCAGACACTCAGATTTATTCTAGAAGCCAATGCATCAAATCTATAACAAGCAACCTTATAGATAATGCCAACCTAACTAGGAACTAAGAAACTTACAGGTAAAAGGTGCCATCACTTGATATTTCTGTCTAGAAAAAAAGGTCCAAGTAAAACTCCAGACCAACCTTTCTGATAATTCTTCATCTTCTTTATTTCTTCCTCACCATGCAGAGTCCCCCCATCCAAAGAACAGTAAGTGCCCTCCACCTGTTTTTTATATTGCATCAGGCTCAACAGCCACAGAAGCCTTTGCTTCCACGCTGCCTCAGTGCTAATGAGTTGTGCAGCTGATCATCATTTGCACTGCTGGGATGCAGGGGCCACATGTGAATGGTAACACATGTGTGATTGCTGACCTCCTTTGCAAAGGAAGAACATGTTCATGTTCCAGAGATCTCCCCCAAGGCGTATGGGTCTCAGAATCAAACTTGGAACAGATTCTGCTATTTGTTCCTGGCCTGACATCACGGCAAGATATAGGTAGGACAGTGACTTGTGCTAGATAGAAAGGCAAGGGGTCATCCAGGTATCCTTGCAATTGAGGTCCAGGAGCGCTGCTTCCCTCACCAAGGGCAAGATGAGCTTTCACTAAAGCCTCTACACTCAGAGGGAGGAGACACCTCTACCACTGGTGGCAGCCTGCTTGTCAGGCAGCAACTCTTGAAGCTAGCAGCTCACGCTCTGACCAAGGCAGAGGCAAGAATAGAGCCAGGAATGGGAAGAACCCAGCCCCCTGTGACTGGGGCTGTCAGCAGCTCTCTCTGAAGTCCCTTCTTTCATAATCAGCTTCTTTTGATCGCACACTAAAACAGCTGAGGTTCTGTTCAAACACAAGCAAGGAACAAAGCAGGTCATTAAACATGTAGGAAATGGCATTCCTTACCTGCCAGGTGGCCCAAGAGGGCAGAGAGAGAGAGGGATGGGCAGAAGGGAGCAAAAGATGGGGCAGCTCTGAAAGGATATGGGTTGCACACCATTTTGATGCACCAGTTCCGTGGGCTGGTGGTCTGCTTCAAGCAGAAGAAGACAACTGGGGCTAAGTCAGGGTAGGGAACATCAGGGTCCGGTGGGGAGGTGACTTCCTCATCCTCGCCCAGATCCGGGGAGGATGGTGGCTGCATCGGTGGCGTTTGCTGCTCCAAGACCCCCAGATCCATGGGCTCCAGTGGGCAGACGGCAGAGGCATGAGGGGGCTGTGGGCCTGCAGACCACGTGGAGGGAGGCTGCGGGACGTACTCTGCCATGCCAGCCACAAGTGAGAACCCCTGGAGAGGATAGGAGAAAGAGAAATGAAACCCACATGAGGAATCAGCAGCAAGAGCACAGCACAGTGAGTTCAGAGCAGGGCAGAGCTGCAGGACTGACGGCTCTGACAAACAACAAATCACCATTTAAATCATCCATGTAGCCCCTGAGACACCCTTGCATGGTGTTGCACCACCTCAGGTGATAGTGCCAACCTTTCTGGAGATAGCCTGAGCACCTTAACGGACCTCTTTGCTTTGGAGTGGCATGGGTCCATCCTGACACAACACAGCCACCCTGCGCTCACAGTCCCTCATGCAGTCCTGCCAACTCCAGGTTCAGTTCTGTTGCCCCTAACATGCCTTCTTCCATCCAGGAACACGCAGGGCTGGCCTTGTGGCATGCCACTCATTGCACAGGCTCCTTTAGACTGACGCCGGCAAATACATGTCAAACCCATACAGAACAGTCACTCAAACAGGGAGTTGTAACACAAGCTAGAAGTCAGATTAAATATTAAGCACCCTTTATTGAACGATGAGGAGCTACCACATGCCGTGGCAGAGGAAGCACCATGAAGACAAGTTGCAAAAGTTATTCCACTATGCAGAATGGTCAAGAGAGTGCAGGTGGGCACAGGAAGCGTAGAACAGGTCTCACACTCAGTGGCACCCAAGTACTGCAGAGCACCATGCTTTCGCTAAAGAACATTTTGCTGGCTAGGTGCACTTAATGGTGGCCTTGTGCTGGGAAATGGCAAAGCCAAGTTGTCCATTAAATAGCACAGTGGAAGTGCTATTTAATGCTTGTCAAAGTGACGGGAATGAAAAAACTAAGGCCTGGCTTCGGAGGGTGCTACAGTGACACTCTTAAGAAAGAGATCTTGCCCAAGGACTGCCCAACAGTCATCCAATGGGCACTTTCTTCCCTTCACCATGTTAGCATACTCAAGTGTCTGGAATGCCTATACTACAATTACAGGTTTAAAAGGAACACAAGAGCCTTCAGACACACCATGGTACAGAAAGGGACAATCAGCAGCAGGAAAGGATGTGCCATGGCACAGACCTGGTCTCCTCGTGTCCTGGATGTAGGTTTCCCTCCCAGATACTTGTTCCCTTCATTTTAGGATCATGCAGCCCACACACATCTCTGCTGACACTACTGTGCCTGGGCTTGCCCCACCCTTGATCATAGAATCATGTCATCAGGTCTTTAAGGGACCTTAAAGCTCATCCAGTCCCAAGGCAGGGACACCTTCCACTAGACCAGGTTGCTCCAAGCCCTGTCCAACCTGGCCTTGAACACTGCCAGGGATGGGGCAGCCACAGCTTCTCTAGGCAACCTGCGCCAGGGCCTCACCACCCTCACAGTGAAAACAGTTTCAGCCCAAGACCCCCCCACAGTGGAAATCCATGATTTCCAGTGCTCTTCACAACAGTTATCTGCCAGATCCAGGCAACCTTCCTGCCTTGTACTGCAGTGCCACATCATCCCTGATTAAGACCTGGCGAGCTCTGCCGACTCACCCTGCCGTGTCAGCCCCCTGCTTCCAACATGCACTTTGATCCAAAGCTCTGCTTGTTCTTCAAGGCTTGGTATTTGTCAGAACAAAGAGCAGCAAGCCCAGAGGTTTAGAAAGCAGACATAGTGTCCCTTAGAGGATAGCACGGAGACTCTTCGAATTCATTACCCCAAAGGCCTGCAGCTATTGGAAAGAAACAAGTATTCTGTCTCCTAACTGGCTTTGGGATGCTGTTCATAATTTTTTAGCCCCTGTGACAAAAGTGGCAGCACATCCTTCCCACCATCCAGCACCTCTGTTACCACTTTCACCAGGTTTTCAACTCTGAGCACCCACACAAATCCGTGTACCACTTTTTCCATTTGTTAATCCCACCTGTTTCCCATTGCCTGCTCTGAGCTGGCTCCCTTGAAGGCTACTATCATGCAGTGGCTGAGCCCAGATTCTTTCCCATTAACAACACAGAGAAAGGTTAGCAGGGACAGCCAGGAGGAATGACTTATTACTGTATTCAGAGCACCCACACTGATGAGGGCATGATGATTCCAAACCACCATGTACAAAGATTCATAATTAACAATACAACTGAGCAAAGGAATGAGAGAAGCAACCTCATCAGCATTTCCCTGCTTTCCCTCCAAGCCGACATTCAGGGCCTCTGCCATTTCACCACTGCCAGATGCTGGGACTTTGGGATGCAGCTCTGCCCATTTCAAACATATGCACAAATCAGGCAGTGGCTGCATCACGAGCAGTTTATCGCTCCAATTTGTGGGTGACTCATTAGAGGTCATACGGACACAGAGCCAAGTGAATCCCTTTGGAAGTCCTGGAGCTAAATACAGCCCTTGAATGACAGCTGCCCCACTGGAGATGGAGTGGATGCCCCTTCCCTTCCTGAGATTAAGTCCTGCTCTGCCAGCCAAACCAGCCCCAAGGCTATGATCTGGGTGTATTTCCTACATTGAGCAGTATTAATATGCTGTGTCAAGAGAGGGGAAACCCAAGCAGTGGGGCACTTCTGAGTTCTTCACACAGAGTGAGTCCTCCTCTGTCAACTTCAAAGGGAAAGAGAGTGGTTTTCCTTCCAGAGGCAGATCCAGCATCCTCACTGCTACCAGTTCAGCTGTGGAAGTTGGAATCAGGTATTTTTGCCATTTTGGCCAGGCTACAACTCATGCAACGCTGACATTTTCTTTGGGATTGCAATCACTCGCCTTCCCATGCTGTAGCATCGCTGAATATCTTGGTTGGAGTGAGCTGGCTACATTATTTCAGCTCAGGAGAGGTCCTGCTCAAATCAAATGACCAAGAGGAATGAGTTTGGCACATGCACAAACCTGTATATATAGAAAAACATGCATCAATGCAGGGATTTCCAATTCAGATAAAAGTAATAGTAAGAACAGACAGGATTATAAGGCTCCGGAACTCATCTTTGGGATGCTTCTAACCTCCCCTTTGCACAGCACTGCTTACCACGGCAAAGACAACAGAACTGGGCAATGAGATGTTATGGGGTGGCCAGATACACATTCTTCCCACTCAGCCTTTTGCTCAGCAAACCTGGCAGTGGCAGGCCAAACCACCAGCAAAAATCAAATCCTCTCTATCCCTGACTTCTCTTTTTCTGGCCAAACACCCCCCATATACACAAAAACATTCCCCTGCGAAAGTCTCGTACTGCTGGAGGAGTGATGCTACTCTCACTGCGCATCCCTCCCAGGGGAAGGGAAGGTATTTGTAGGCTGGCAGCTCCTAGTTTCTCTCCCTGCGCCAAAGCCTTCCCTGGAGCCAGGCCTCAAGTCTGCACTCCTCCTCCCACCACCCATCCCCAAAGGCCATTTAAAACCACTACCATGCTTAGCTGAGCTCCCGCTGGTCCTGCATCCCTGACACGTGTGCTGGAAGGCAGCTCATTGACTTGGCAGGCACGGGAGAAGCTGCCAGCCTTTGGCTCAACCCTTCCCTGCTTTGGAGACAGCACCTGGTCCTGATGGACTCTGCTGGCAAAGAAGGGAGAAGGATGTTCTAAAACAGCAAGGGAAGCAATGGACTAAATGAGCAGGGAGATTGGTTGGGAGAAAAAAGAGATGTCACAAGTCAGGAGGAATGCTTCAGATTGGGGGTGTCTCTCCCCAAAGGCTGATATCACCTCCTGGCGTGCATTGCTCAGAGACACCTCTGCTCAGACACACTCCCACCTGGGGCTGCAATGGGTATCCCAGGGCTGCCACAGTTGACCAAAGTGCCATGACCAAGCCAGCCCAAGGTGTCCTGCAGTCATCTCATCCCAGATAAAGCACTCTTCTAGCTCCTTGACTCCTCTCCTCAGCAGGGGTTTAGGCAGAAAGGGGTTACCAGGGACTGTGGGTGAGGGAGGGCTGACGGGACCTTTGCAAGGCTCATGCAGGTCCTTCCTGAAAACCTCTAGGGTGCAGACAGCACAGGGGAGACTATTGCATCTTGCCAGTGAAGACCCTTTTGTGGCGAGTCAGGTGAGGGAAATACCAGAGAGAGGTTCCCAGAGCACCATCTCAGTGCTGGAGGCTTTCCACCCAGAGCCTAGCGGAATGTCCACTCCTCCCATGTGGGCGCATCTGCAGAGTTCACCTTCCCCACCACCATCTTTAACCATATCCCTTGCCAGCCCACCTTCCTCCTCTCACACTGCTGGTATGGACAGCACCAAGGCCTGCAGCCGAAATGAAAATGCAGAGTACATTTCCTTTAAGAGCAGCCTTATGAGTACACAACACCTCCCTTCCTGAGGGGACACAAGTCCTTTACAGACCATCCATCATGATCATCCACTTGTTACTCAGAAGCAGCAGCCACTCTGTCCTGCAAACAGTCTGTAACACCCTTGCAGAAGAGGGACAGAAATGACATCCTCCAGCTGGCATCACAGGAGGGGGCAAGACAGCCATGTCAATCAAGAGAAGCACCTGCAGCACATTATTTATCATTTCCAAACAGAAATCTGGGGCTGTTCAGCCTGGAGAAAAGAAGGCTGCATGGAGACTTCATAGCAGCCTTTATATCTGAAGGGGGCCTACAAGGGTGCTGGAGAGGGATTCTTCATCAGGGAATGTAGCAACAGGACAAGGGGTAACAGGTTCAAACTTAAACAGGGGAAGTTCAGATTAGATCTAAGGGAGAAGTTCTTTACTGTGAGGGTGGTGAGGCACTGGAACAGGCTGCCCAAAGAAGTGATAAATGGTCCATCCCTGGCAGTGTTCAAGGCCGGGTTGGACCGGAGCCTTGAGCAACATGGTCTAGTGTGAGGCATCCCTGCCCATGGCACTAAATGATTTTAAGGTCCTTTCCAACTCAAACCAGTCTATGATGCTATGATTCTGTGATTCTATGACACACTCAAAAGTTGACGAGCATCTTGGGGCACAGTTCTTGTGGCCAGCTTCACACAAACCTGGACTTATTTAAGGATGTCGCTGTGTGGCATATTGATGAAGGGGTGCAGGTGACCCTATT